TGACAGCGCGGGAGGCTCACAGCTGAGCCAGGGCCAGACGTGGGGGACGTTCTTTAAACCGTCAGGAAAACACTAACAGTGTATCCTGTGTCTGCAGATACGCAAAGAAGGGCGGTGATGTTAAGCAAGAGGGTACCCATCTATCTAAAGGAGCCCATCCTGACCCCCAAAACCATTGAATTAAATTTGAAATTTAAAAAACCTGCCCTCTTCTCCACCAGAGCAGGTTCAGAGAGTTTCACAAGAAATTTTCTCAAACTTTCAAAGAACAAAGAAGCCTCACTCCCTTTTTAAAACATTATTTCAGGGACTAGAAACAGTAGGAAGACTCCCAGTTCATGTCATGATGCAATATTTATATCCAAAGACAGTACTCAAATGTTTTAGATTGATATTACTTATGACCATAGGTGCAAAAATCCTAAAGAAAATATTCTCAAATACAGCAGTATATTTTAAAAATGCATCACAATCAAGGAGGATTTATCCCAGACATACGACAGTGCTTTAGTATCAGATAAAAATCTGAGTTTAATTCACCACACCAAAAATTAAAAGAGAAACACAAAACAATTCCCTGAATAGATGCAGAAATGCATTTATACATTCAATGAAAATCATGGTAAAGCTTTCAGCAACCTAGGAGTAGAGGGTATTTTTCTAAGCATACAGTAAATATCACACTCACTGGTGAAATGTGAGGAGTGCCATGAAAGCTAGGTGCAAGGCAAGTGGCCACTAGTAGCACTATTTGTTGCTGCTGTTTAGTCACTATGTCATGTGCAACCCTGTTGCAACCCCGTGGACTGTAGGCCACCAGACTTCTTTGTCCATGGGATTTTCCCAGCAAAAATACTGCAGTGCGTTGCCATTTTTTCTCCAGGGGATCTTTGCAACCCAGGGATTGAATCTGCGTCTCCTGCATTGGCAGGCCAATTCTTCACCACTGAGCTACCAGGGAAGCTACCATTACTCTGTTAGAGGATCTGGCCTTGTGCTGTTCCATATGGCCGTCAAGAGCTACAGGTGGTTTTTCAAATTTAAATTTAACTGAGTCTCATTAGCCATATTTCAAGTGCTAAACAGCCATATGTGGCTACCATATTGGACAACCCAGCTATTGAATGTATCCATCATTATAAAAAGTTCTATTTGCTAGGGATTGTCTAGCCAATATAACAAAACCAAGAAAATGAAATGAGAAGCCCAAGGATTAGAAAGAAAAAAATGTTTCCCCTATCTGCAGACAATGTGATTGTCTACACAAGACATCTAAGGAAAATATTAGAACCTGCAGATAAACAATTAGATTTAACAAGAGTTTAGCAATGTTACTTGGAGAAGGAAATGGCAACCCACTTCAGTATTTTTGCCTGGAAAATCCCATGGACGGAGGATTTCAAACATAATAAAGGAAAAAAGTAACAGGCACAAAAGGTATCTTTACAAGAGTATCAACTACTTTTAAAGAAATTAGGCATAAAGCTAACAAAAGATATGCAAGATAGAGCTCCTTGCTTTGGAGGAAGCCCTGGCCCCCAGCAGCCTTTATTTTTCTCGGCTCCAAAATCACTGCAGATGGTGACTGCAGCCATGAAATTAAAAGACACTTGCTCCTTGGAAGGAAAGTCATGACCAACCCACACAGCATATGAAAAAGCAGAGACATTACTTTGCCAACAAAGGTCCATCTAGTCAAGGCTATGGTTTTTCCAGTGGTCATGTATGGATGTGAGAGTTGGACTATAAAGCAAGCTGAGTGCCAAAGAATTGATGCTTTTGAACTGTGGTGTCAGAGAAGACTCTTTTTTTTTCCACTTATTTTTATTAGTTGGAGGCTAATTACTTTACAATATTGTAGTGGTTTTTGCCATACATTGACATGAGAGTCCCTTGGGCTGCAAGGAGATCCAACCAGTGCATCCTAAAGGAGATCAGTCCTGGGTGTTCGTTGGAAGGACTGATGTTGAAGCTGAAACTCCAATACTTTGGCCACCTGATGAGAAGGAGTGACTCATTGGAAAAGACCCTGATCCTGGGAGGAGGGCAGACCCTGAGGGCAGGAGGAGAAGGGGACGATAGAGGATGAGATGTTTGGATGGCATCACCGACTCAATGGACATGGGTTTGGGTGGACTCTGGGAGTTGGTGATGGATAGGGAAGCCTGGCTTGCTGCAGTTCAATGGGGTCGCAAAGAGTCAGACACGACTGAGCGACTGAACTGAACTGAGAATAAAGAGGTTGTTGTTGTAGTTGCTAAGTCATGTCCAACTGTTTGCAACTCCAGGGACTGAAGCACGCCAGGCTTTCCTGTGCTTCGCTATTTTCCTGAGTTTGCTCAAACTGATGTCCATGAAGTGATGGGAGCAGATGCCATGATCTTAGTTTTCTGAATGTTGAGTTTTAAACCAAATTTTTCACTCTCCTCTTTCACTTTCATCAAGAGGTCCTTTAGTTCTTCGTTTTCTGCCATTTAATGAAAGAAAAGTGAAAGTGAAAGTCGCTCTGTTGCGTTCGACTCTTGGATTGTGTCCATGGAATTCTCCAGGCCAGAATACTGGAGTGGGTAGCCTTTCCCTTCTCCAGGGGATCTTCCCAACCCAGGGATTGAACCCAGGTCTCCTACATTGCAGGCTGATTCTTTACCAGCTGAGCCACAAGGAAAACTCAAGAATACTGGAGTGGGTAGCCTATTCTTTCTTCAGCAGATCTTCCTACCCAGGGGTGGAACCAGGGTCTCCTGCATTGCAGGCGGATTCTTTACCAACTGAACTATCAAGGAAGCCCCGCCATTTAATAGTTGTCTGTATATGGTATGCATTTTTTACTAGTATTGGTATAATTAAAAAAAAAACTTTATTGGAGTATGACTGTTTAGTTTCTGCTGTACAACACGCTCAGCTATCTGTGTACATACAGACCCTCCCTCCGGGCTTCCCTCCCACCCCCCATCCCAATCCCACCCCTTTGGGTCATCACAGAGCACTGAGCTGAGCTCTCCGTGTGGTATGCAGCCTCGCAGTAGCTATCTGTTTTACACGTGGTAGTGCTCATGTTATTGGTACTCTCTCAATTTTCCTCCTCTCCCCGTCCCGCACTGTGTCCACATGTCCATTCTCTACATCTGTGACTCCATCCTGGCCTGCAGATAGCTTCATCTGTACCATTTTCCTAGATTCCATATATATATATGCCTTGATACACGTGTTTTTCTTTTAATTAAAAGATTGAAAATTTATTTAAGGTAAACTATCAAATTACAAATGGTTTTAGTATTCATTTCTATTAAGTACGTGTTTTGGTCAGATGTCTTTGGTTTGTTATATTGTCTAACACTACAGTTTGAATGGACACTTACCTGAATAACTATACCGAAATTAATGCTAATAGGTATGTGAAATGATGAGAGAGGATGGACTGTTTAATTGAGCTAGATGTGTAGAGGTATGCATGTTTTTAAGTATCGATTCCAAGAGACGAGTCATTTTGTTAGTGGACAGGTAGATGGGATAACCACACAGCCAGGGACTGTTCTTGACAGATATACCCAAACATCTGTGCCCCTTCCTAGTTCTGCTGAAGGGGCCCTTTAATACTCGAACCTGACTGTAAAAAACGTAGGTAGCCAATCATAGGTCTCAAAACTAGCAGAGGGGAGATATAAAGGGACTGAAACATAGGGTTTGTAATAGAAAGTCAAATAACTACAATGTGAAGTAGATACTACGGGGTGATGAAAACAGGCCTGTGGGTGTGTGAGGCAGACAGGTAGGCTGAATCCAGGTCATAAGAAAATTTTAATGCCAAGTTAGGGGGACTGTCCGGTTCATCTTTGTATCCCCAGCACCCAAAAGAGTGCCAGATGCATAACAGAAACTCACTGTATACTTGCTGAAGGAATGAAGAAGTTTAAGGAACCTCCGTGGAGAAATTACACAAGATTTAAAAGCCACTTAGGATTATTTCAAACTTGGGAGAGGCAATTTGACAATATGCACCAAGACTCTTTTAAATACTCCTATTATTTAACCCAGTAATTCTATTTATGGGACTCTGTTTTAAAGTAATAATCCTAAATGAGGGAAAGCTTTATGCATAAAGTTTATTACAATATTGTTTTTAAAAGAAAAAATGGAAATAGTCTAACAATTGGGAAACAAGTTATTGTGTGCCTTTCTCCTGTAGGGTATTTAATATGCTGTCAATAAAATGACGATTATAAAGACGATGTGGAACATATATATTATTATATTAAGTAAATATAACGAAAACCGTACCAAGACGCATAATTGAAGGTAGGGTATGATTATAAATTATGGGAAGGGTGAAAGAGTTTGTCTGGGGGTGGTAACATTTTTTTCTTTTATCCTTCTGTGTATTTTCCCTACTTGTCCTCATTATTTCATTCACTTATCAAATATTTATTGAGAGCCCACTATGTATCAGGTACTGCCCTAGGAATTAGGGGAAACAGCAGTGAATGAAACAGAAATCCTGTCTTCACGAACTTACGCGTCAGTTGGAAAAGACAAAAAATTAACAAGTCAATTAAATGAGTGGTCGGCAAAAAAAATAAGGCAACGAAAGAGAATAAAATCAACATCATTTACTTTAGACTTGGAGGGAGGAGATACTCATCCAGGTAAAAAGACCGAATTAGATATTTGAGCAGCGCTAAGACCGAGAGGCCCAGGAGGCGCCAGCCCGGCAGGCGACGCTGCAGCCGGGCGGCGGCGGGACGGTTGCGCGCGAGGCAGGCGGGGCTTGTGACGCGAGGGGCGGGGGCTGGAGGGCCGCGGAAACGCCGAGCTCGGCTCAGCGCTTTCTCTGCAGACAGGCGCGCGGAGCTGAAAACCAAACACAGGTCTTCCGCGCTCCTGGGGGCGGGGCAGGCGGGAGTAGACCGAGTCGCCGGAGACGAAGCCTTCGTGGAGTTGTTTTTTCGGTTGCCGGTCGCTGTGGCCGAGAGGTCTGAGGTCGGGCTGATACGTGGGGAGCAATGGCGACCTTTGTGAGCGAGCTGGAGGCGGCGAAGAAGAACTTGAGCGAGGCCCTGGGGGACAACGTGAAACAGTAAGAACTCCCCAGACGCAGCCTCCGCGTCTCTGCGCGGGCGCTCCCCCGGCCTCTGGCTGCCCACCCATCGTGGAGTGAGTCCACGCGGCCGCTGGGCCTGTGCGCCTCTCGCGTCGTGGGCTGTGGGGCTGTGGGTTTTTCCGGCTGGGGCCGGCGGGCAGCCCCGACTCACCCGGCTGGAGGGGCCGCCTCCCCGGTTTGCTCGGGACCCGGGCGGGCGCCTTCCCCCGAGGCTCTGTCCTGGGTGGGGCGAGCTAGGCGTACTCCACGCCTTCACGCCCAAGGGCCTGTTGGGCGGGTGCGGCCAGGGCGCGGAGTGCGGGACGCGCGTGGCTGAGCAGCGGCCTAGTCCGAGCCGGCTCGTCTCTAGGTGGCCCGCTCCCGGAGGGCTTCGTGGAAGCGGAGGCTTATTGAGCTCAGGTGTTGTGCAGGAACTGTGGGTAAGACATGGAAAGCAATTTCGGAAGGCAGACAGACCCTCCGGTGAAATGGTCACTGAACACTGCTGCAGTTATAGTGAAGATAGCAGTAGCGAACATTTATTGAACACCTTTTAAGCGCTCTAGATGTACTATCTCATCTAATCCTCGCAAAAGAGATGTGAGGTAGGTAAAGTTATCTCACCCGTTTCATAGATGAGAGGACAGAGATCTTAACTCTTCAAAAGCCATGGCAGTATTGGGGCCCTCGTGTCTGATTTCTCGCTCTGAAACTTACCGGGGGGTTGCAGAGGATCCCAGAAGCTCCCAGACAGACTTTCACCCAGGTTATAGCAGGGGACCGAGTACAGAATCGGGTCAGAATCGCCGAAATGGCTGAGTGTAAAATCAGTAACTCAGACAAAGCCAGAGTCACAGAAGGAACCCTCCGAAGTACAAGGACCAATTTGGAAATTTTCAACACAGTATGATTACATGTTTATTTTTCTAAAATATTAGAAGCAAATTTTAAACGTTTAAGATTATAATGCCTGTGTTATTGCTGCTAGATGATTTTTGTGATATTCCTTACGTTTTGCAGTACTCAGTAGACACTCACTTTGAAATGTTTCTAGAGGTGCAAGGTGTTTGGGGGATACTTTCTTTTTCTCCACTCTCCTCCTCATCTTTTAATTTTTTTTATTATAACTGAATTGAAGTTACTTAACTTGGATGTCATACATGAGTTTTGGTTTTTCCTTGTTGTGAAATTTTGATGTGGCAGTCTACTTTGTGTCTTACCAAGATATACAGAATTCCCATGTAAGACTTCGTGGAACACCGATGGACTAAATGGAATAATTAAAAACAAAATATAATTTTTAAAGATTATTTTAGTATTAGGAACAGTAATAAATCAAACTAGAAACACTGGAATTAAAATGTAATAATCTGTTATTTTGGGCATAATTATTTAATTTTTTATAAACATTAATTGACTCCCAAAGATAGAATATTTTTACCTGAAGTTATAGTTTAATATGCATGTTGAATTTCTCCTTCTTTGCTTACTTAATTAAAAATTCTTAATTATTTTAATGAGTAAAATTGACAGCCTTTACCATCATTAATTACTGTAGCTTATTTTTGTAATACTGACTGCTAAAATTTACACTTTTTGAGCACGGTAGACTTGTCACTCTTATATTTATGATGCTTACAAATATTTGGAAGTGAATGTTTTCATGCTACAGTATACTTGGCTTGTGTGTGTAATTGACTGATTAGATGCAGTGATGCCCTCTGTGATCCTACCCTTCTCACACAGGTCACCAGAAATGTTGAAGTTAGTGTTTCCTATTTGGTCTTTCAAGGTCAATGCTGGCTATCAGATGTTTTGTCAAATACAGATGCCAAAGCTAAATTTGGTGCATCTGTAGCTGAATCTCCATTAAGAATGCAATCAAAATATACCTTTGTGCAAGGAAGAGTTAGTGGTACAGTGTTGTTCTCTATTAATGTTTTCCATTGTCTTTTTTTCCCTCTGCTCCTTAAAAAGTGCTTCTTGGTTGAGCAGTCTGTCCTACAATATTTTCTCACATATCCTGCTTGAGTAGTTTTTCTTGGTTTGTACAGCCTGACCATTTGAATGCGGTTCTTGTTCATGGATAAGATATGTCAGGTATATAAGGACCTCAGGCATGAGTTGTTTCCCAGTTGATGCTGTTGTCCTAATGTCCTTTGTGCCAGGCTGTCTGCGCATGTCAGCTTCTGGAAAGACAGGAGCTTTGCTAGCTCACTCACTTTGTAGAGTGTCGGGTTCAAATGAGTGCTTAGTTTTTTGGATGATTTAGCCATATGTTATTTAATTTTCCCCAGGTATCTGCAGTGCTTCCTAGTCTGATTCATTTATACTCATCACCCATTATCCTCACCTACATACATAGAGGCTGGCTTACTTTGTTTTTCTTATTTTTAAGGAAAACAATCAGTTGTCCATGGCTATACAACGAGGGGACCAGGATTGGGAAGTGAGTCTTCAACTTGATAGCCAGTGCTGGCTATTTGGGCTATAAAGTTTGAAAATATAGATAGCATCAGGTTGGCAGAGTCTTGTCTTCACTTCAAGTATGAAGTATTTGAAACTATCCTTTCTTGAAAATAGGAACACAGGGTTTTTAAACAATGAAGTTTTTCTCATGTTACTCTCCTCTTTTGTTGTATGGGATAGGAAAAGACTTTTGCTTTTCTGTGGTACTTTATTTCACTTTTAAATTGTTCTTGTCATTAAAAAGGCAGAGGAATCATGTAAGTGTTTGCTATTGGGAAGGTATTATTGATTAATGAATTTGACTCAGGTGAAATGTTGTGCCAGGTTCTAGAACTGAACTTGTTTTGCTATTGAATGAAATGGGTCTTGGGAAACTTTAAGGCTCCATTAAAGTTATGAATTTTCCCCGGCGGGGTTGGGGTGGGGAATACAGGAACTCAAACAGTCACATCTATGTAGTTAGCCAAACTTAAGCTGATCTGTGTATAGGACAGCAGGAGAAATTGCTATGAGTATAATGGCAGTGAGAGCATTAAACTGTCTTGTTTAGGACTCTATTTTGTTGTTAGAAACTCAAATGAGCATTACAAAGTAGCTAATCGTGAATTGAAAGTTACTGTAAAACATGTACTAAGTAATTAATTAGTCCTGCTTCATGAGTGAGGAGTAGCTTGCTTAAGCATTAAAACAAGGGGTGTGGGGAAAAAAAAAAGAAAGAAAAAAAAAGAAAAAAAAAGGGGTGTGGATGTGAAAAATCAAGTATTTTACTCCTATTTTTAATAATGTTGTTAAGGTATAAAAGATTGGATCCTTTTTTTCTACCAGTTAACTAGTAATTTTTATGATTAGTGGTTGTTTTTCACTTTTAAGAAGCCACTAAGTTTCTCTTATGCTTAGGTATTTTTCTTTGTGGCAAGTTATTTTAGAAGCCTGTTCAACCAGATGGAGTAAAATTTGTGTTCAGTTGACGGAAAAGGTCACCCAGAGTCTGTATTAATGTACACTCCTCAATCTATAAAACACAACAAACTTTAAAATATAAAGCTTTCTCAAAATTGAGGTATAAATGACAGACAACTTTTCGTTAGTCTCAGGGGTACAATATTAATGATTCAGGATTTGTGTATATATTTCATTGTGGCACCACAAGAAGTCTAGTTCATGTCTCTCATCATACATAGTTAAAAAATTATTTTTTTCTTGTGATGAGAACTTTTAATACATTATTGACTGGGGAATTTTGTAGAAACTCACACCCATGACCATCAATTTGTTATGTAAGTGAATATTGAAACACTCTGGTCAATAATATTCAGGTTAACAAAAGACTTATTGATACGTCTTTGGGCAGTAAGTTGTTAAGATCTACTCTCAGCAGCTTTCAAATATGCAATATTTGACAACTTTAATAATATTTAAAATAATTTCAAGTGTATTTTTCTGGGGAGTAGGTCCTTTAGAAAGGCAGCCGCGAGGAAGGAAAGGTACAGCTGTGGTTTTTAGCTGGTTGACTTATAGGTCAGACTCTGTGACTACCGCTCAGTCCCTTTTAGGGAGGACTTTCCTCTTCTGGTGGTATTCTGACTCCTCAGTAGCTTAAACAACTGATTTATTTTCTCACCATTCCAGAGTCTAGAAGTCTGACATCAGGGTGTGAGCAGGGTTGTTGTTTTCTGAGGCCTCTCCCATTGGCTGTTGCCTGCTGTCTCTTGTCTGTATCCTTTAGGGCCTACCCTGATGCCTCCAGTTCAGTTCAATTCAGTCGCTCGGTCATGTCTGACTCTTTGCGACCCCATGGACTGCAGCACGCCAGGCTTCCCTGCCCCATCACCAACTCCCAGAGCTTACTCAAACTCATGTCCATTGAGTTGGTGATGCCATCCAACCATCTCATCCTCTGTCGTCCCCTTCTCCTCCTGCCTTCAATCTTTCCCAGCATCACGGTCTTTTCCAATAAGTCAGTTCTTTGCATCAGGTGGCTAAACGTATTGGAGTTTTAGCTTCAGCATCAGTCCTTCCAGTGAATATTCAGGACTGATCTCCTTTAGGATAGACTGGTTGAATCTCCTTGCTGTCCAAGGGACTCTCAAGAGTATTCTTCAACACCACAGTTCAAAAGCATCAATTCTTCAGCACTCAGCTTTGTTTATAGTCCAACTCACACATCCATACGTGACCACTGGAAAAACCATGGCCTTGACTAGACGGATCTTTGTTGACAAAGTGATGTCTCTGCTTTTTAATGTGCTGTCTATGTTGGTCATAGCTTTTCTACCAAGGAGCAAGCGTCTTTTAATTTCATGGCTGCAGGCACTATCTGCAGTGATTTCGGAGCCCCCAAAAATAAAATCTGTCACTGTTTCCAATGTTTCCCTATCTGTTTGCCATGAAGTGATGGACTGGATGCCATGATCTTAGTTTTCTGAATGTTGAGCTTTAAGCCAAGTTTTTCAGTCTTCTCTTTCTCTTTCATCAAGAGGCTCTTTAGTTCTTCTTCACTTTCTGCCATAAGGGTGGTGTCATCTGCATTTCTGAGGTTATTGATGTTTCTCCTGGTAATTTTGATTCCAGCTAGTGCTTATCCAGTCCAGCATTTCTCATGATGTACTCTGCATATAAGTTAAATAAGCAGGTTACATAATTACCTCTTTGAAGGCCCTGTCATGTTCTGTGGTACTAGGGGTTAGGGATTCAACATATGAATTTGGGGGGAAACACAACTCAGTCCATAACGTTAAGGAATGCAAAATTTCCTTCTTTTCCTGGGAGCTGAGGGAGATAAGGTGAACTTGGGGAAGAAGCAAAACCTGAGGTTCTTAATATTGCTTCTGCCTCTGCAGATACTGGGCTAACTTAAAGTTGTGGTTCAAGCAGAAGATCAGCAAAGAAGAGTTTGACCTTGAAGCTCATAGACTTCTGACACAGGATAATGGTAAAATAATCTGGGGAGTTATTTCATGGTTCTGAAGTTTTCCCAGATCTGCAATAAATTAAGTTAAAATTTTTTTTTTTTGGTTTTAGTAGTATGTAAGGTCATTTAAATAATGTGGATATTTAAAAGTAAATGTAAAGAATGGCAGAGTAGGGGATATCCAAAGTTTTTAAAAACTAGACTAAAACAGTGGGTTCCTTATGTTGTAAATATTGTGTACTTGACTTGTGACAATCTTCCCTTTTTCAGTCCATTCTCACAACGATTTCCTCCTGGCTATTCTCACGCGTTGTCAGATTTTGGTGTCTACACCAGGTAAGGGAGTGGAAATAACCTCTAGGGATGTCAGTCAGCAAAGCCACAAACTCTGGGCTTATTACCAGGCTCTGGCTGCCTTTAACAGACGTGTTTGCAAATGAAATGTTCTTTGAACTGCTTAGAAGACACATTTTCTTATAAAGTGCCGATTCTTTCATAGGACCTTTTAAAGCAGGTAATCTCACTGTCCTTACCTTGACCTTGCGCTTTACTGGGTCTCAGTCACTTAAGTAAACCAGAGGTGAGGAGGCGAGTAGTTAGTCAGCAGGAAGAAGCTGAGGAGAGTGAGGAGGGCAATCTGGCGGTTAGAAGAAGCTTACCAGAGATGCAGGGAGGGTGAGCCAGGCGGAGGGGAAACCGCAGCGTATGTTGAGAGCTTGGATTTTCCTATTCTTAATTCAGTGAGGTATTAGCACCTGGGAGGTTGAGTGCTTCAGCCTGTGGTTGGCAAACTATCGTGGAGAACAAAGGTAGAGAATAGCAGCGAAGCAGGGAAGTGCATGGAAGCCAAGTCTGTCACTTCAACCTAAGAAAATGAGTATAGACAGAATGATTTTTTGCTCCTAGTTTTTTGGAGGTTTAAGTGGTACAGGTCACCTCTTTCAGTCTTATTTTATTCAGTTAGTCAGAACCAAATAAATACGTTAGAAATTTGCCTCATGGTAAAGCTTATCCTGGGCTCTTGCATTTTTAGGTACTGTTGGTTTTTGTTGTTTCTTTTAAAGGGCCTGTGGTGATTCTAATGGTCATTTATTAAAAGCCCATGTTTGTCTAGAGGAAGTGGAGTCACTCTGTCGTGTCTCACCCCTTGCGACCCCATGGACAGTAGGACAGTAGTAGCCTACCGGGCTCCTCCGTCCATGGGATTTTCCAGGCGAGACTGCTGGAGTGGCTGCCATTTCCTTCTCCAGGGTTCCCCCCCACTCCCCCCCACCCCCAGGGATCGAACCCAGGTCTCCTGCATTGCAGACAGGCACTTTACCATCTGAGCCACCAGGGAAACTCCTTTTACCTAGAAAAGGCTAGTATTTTCTATCATCTCCCTCTGCTAAGCTCTGTTGTAAGATCAAGAATTCAGATAAGATATCTTAAAGGCCTGTTCTTCACACTCAAGAGAAGTTACTGTTGGTGGGAAGAGTGGTAAAGAGTGTTTGTTTATGGAGATTGGTGTTAGAGCAGGGAGGCTGCTCTCCACCCCTCACCATTCCCCTTGCTGCACATTCTACACTGTGTCTGATGTTTAATTTAAATAGAAGTGGACTTTTGCCTCTTAGATCATAAAGATAATCCACTCTATTGTTTAAAATTTAATTTGATCAGAAAAGCAAACATTTTGTGAGGACAGATCTTACTTTTTAGGTAGATATATTCTGAAGTGCCAGACACCCAAAAGATTCAGTGGGACGGCTGGAATTAAAAACTTTGGTTGATAGGAGTTAGGACACTTGGGTTCAAGTTTAAGTTTTGTCGGTAGCTTATATTAGGTGATGTATTTAATTATTGAATGTTGTTAGCTTCCATGAGACAATAATATCTACCCCACATGGATATAAAAAAAGCAGGTGAAAGAACATGTAAAATTTCTCTTAAAAATAAATGCCAATAGAATATGAAGTGATACTAGTATAGGTGGCTGATTTTAATTAAAGCCTGTGATACTCTTGAATGTTTGTTGTTGGTTGTTTAAAAATAAATGAAGATACATTGGAATTTAAGAGATTATTTCTCCATCAAACATCCAAAATATCTTTCCTTAAAACAAAATATTTGTTGGAGATGATTTCTACTAAAAGTATAATATAGAAGTATAATTTTTGTGTGTGTTAATATTTGTGGTCAAATTGCTTACTATTTCTCTAAGCCAGGCAAGAAAGATGGTTTTAATAATATTATTTGTTGACTACTAACAGCTGTGTCCTAGACACTTTATGTTCATTGTCTTTTTTCTTAAAAGTATTCTTTGAGATATTTTTTTCAAGTGTATGTATAACTTTGATTTTTTTTTTGTTTGTTTAGCTTGGTCTTTCTTACCATGTTACAGGTTACTATCAAATGTCTGATAATTTGCATTTAAGAAGAAGCATAAAACTGCCTGGAGATTGCCCTTTAGAGTGACAGGAGGCCAGCTGTTAACAGTGGGGCTGTGCTCAAGGGTGTCAGTACCCACACCAGCTACCTTAGTAAAGCCAAGGCATTTTGTTTTATTTTAACTAGAGAAGAGTCCTCCATTCCCCTGTCCTCTCGCCTGTCACATGTACCTCACTACGCACAGGAGTGAGCGGGTCTGGCTGTGTGCGGCCAGGAACAGTTGTTCAGTGAACTCGGAAGGGCCTGCACTTGATTTACTGCTGTGCTCGGGTTGTCTTGAAATTCTTAACTTTTGATCAGGGGACCCATCTTTTTTGTGTTGTATGAGCTCAGTCCTGGATGTGAGGGAAGGCATTTGTATAGATGACTTTTCAATATAGATACTCCATTAATCTTGTTTTTAGCTGTACTGTCCCTCCTGCTTTCCACTGGACTCACCTACAAATTCAGATTCTTTGGATGTCTACTAGTCCGGTTAACTGAGTTCCACCTATTTGCCAGGCTTGCCTAGCTTAGGTCAGAGCTCCCGTGTGTCCACTTTGTAAGTTGGCTCCTTTTTAGCCTATCCTTGGAATTTGGTGAGATCTCATCTTGGTCTGCCACTCATTTTCCTTTTAATCTCTGTTGTGGATGTGCCATTTACTTTTTTCTACTGTTGGTTTTAGTAGGATCTTGAAAGAGAGAGGAGACACATACATGTGCTCAGTTTGCTATCTTGAACTAGAAAATTCTGTCCTGCTTTTATAATATTACTGCTACTATTAAGCAAACAAGCACCCCATAGACAATTAAAAACGTGAGAAACAAATTTGTCTTCCTAAAAGAACAATTTTGGTTACAACTAGAAAAAAAAAGTGATTGAGAGAATTTGAAGTTTTGTTTAGAGAAGCAGAAAGAGATCTGAATTTAAGCATTTATTGTTTATTTCCATCATTTGAGCATCTCATACTTCTTTAACCCAAAGTGAAAACAAACTTAACAGTTATCAGTTGTCGTTCTTTTCTCTTATGATTGTTATTTTTCTGTCTCATAGAGGGTGCTGGATCTTTACCCTGGACAGGGGGTTCTGCAGCCAAACCTGGAAAACCAAAGGGAAAGAAAAAGCTTTCTTCTGTTCGTCAGAAATTTGATGTAGGTTGTTCTTCAGTAGATCTTGGTAATGATTGATTTAAGAACTGTTGTGATGGAACTGGCTTTAGTTTTTTAATGAATATTACAATTCTGGTAGGAAAGTTGAAAAAAGGTGAAGAGAAAAAGATGGTATTTGGGGAGGAAAAGATGTTATTGAATTTGAAATTGGGACTCAATCTTTGAAACCCTCTTTACCAAAGTGTCTGAAATTTTATACTTCTAGTTTGTTATTGCATAATTATTAATATGTTTTCATTAGTATATCATGATCTTTTAGTGATTCAAGAACTATCCCTATATTCTTTTCCCTCTAAAATATCTCTGGGAATGAATAATGTTACTCAGATTGAAGACTTCTGTTCAAGGGTCCAGGAGGTCTAGAGGCCTCCAGCAGGATCTTGGTGATGCCCTGGTAAACCTTGAGCCTTCTGGGGATCCTCAGAGAAATCTTGAAGGCATTGGACTATGAAGTTTGTAAACATTTTAGAATAACTTGGTTTTTCAGGTTTATATCCAGGGAACAAAATTTCCCAAAAGTATCCCTTTTATAGATTTGATTGGGTACTTTACTGATTAACATCAACAAGCATGTATTTACTTCTAATTTTTGCTCTATGTTTTATATCAATAATATTCGACCTGGAGGGCATCAGCATCTCCAGAAAGGCACACTTGCTTTAAAAAAGCATGTTTGATATAAAATAGTTTTATACTTGAAAAATGGAAAAGCAAGTTGCTTTTATAATACAGACTTCAAATAGGACAAACAATATTTGCTACAAAATCTAGTGAGCTGGACTTAAGCTAAAGCTACAGGGGCATATCTCCTACTGATGGTGGAGAATGTAAATGTGCTATCAGTATCTCCCAGAGCAAGGCTGGGGTTATATAAGTGGAAAAAATTGGGAAAGGCTATTTTTTAAAAAACTAATGACTGTCTTAAAAAGATTCTGTGTTGAGAATTGTTAGTGGAATATAATGTAACTGAAGAGTTATACTACCCTACATTATCTTAGAATATTTGTTATTAGATCTGTTACGTTGGTAACAGAAATTACCAGTTTTCTGAAACATTCACTGTATATTTCTGCTTTTAGAATCTGCTTACTTACAAGTGTACTTAAAATGTTTTGACTTGTTTGAAAGTAGTTTTATATCTTCTCTTTCTCCCCATTTGTTATTTTTAGCACAGAGCCATATATTCTGTGATTACTGAGGAATTAATTAAATAGAATAAACTACTCTGCATAATACTACTGTTCCCCTTAACTCATGTCTTCATTATTAATATGCAATGGTTGTGAATCTGTGATTGTGCATGAGTTACTTTTTTTAAACTCTTGTGGTTTAGTTTTGATGGCATCAATTTGTAGGATCTCAGGTCCAATTCCTTGGTTACTTTTGTTTGTGTCTTATTACTTGTCATGTAATGAATAACTGTGAAAGGTTTTCTTACCTATAGCATAGATTCCAGCCTCAAAACCCCCTCTCAGGAGCCCAGCAGTTTGTGGCAAAGGACCCCCAGGATGAGGATGACTTGAAGCTTTGCTCGCACACAATGATGCTCCCTACGCGGGGTCAGCTTGAAGGGAGGATGATAGTGACTGCTTACGAGCACGGGCTGGACAATGTCACCGAGGAGGCTGTCTCAGCTGTGGTCTACGCGGTGGAGGTTGGTTTGCTGGTGTCAGAAACACTCCTGCAGATTGAATGTGGGGCTTGTGTGTGTCATTCAGAGTTAGTACTGCAAGAAAAGAACTAAAAGGTAACTCTGATTTCAGAATTGCCTTGCTGAAATTGTTTTCTCTTGAGGGGAGAAACATCACAATCCAAACAGTTGCCTTCAGTCAACAGACTAAGCTCTTCAGAAACGTTACTGCTGGCATAACACTTCTGATGTTTAACTTGTCCACACGAGGAGAGGTTTTAAGCAAAAAATTGAGATTGAGAATCCTAAAGATTAAAATCATTTGATTTTGCTGTGGTACAGCATTTGAAGAGCATTACGAGGTGTGGTGTCTGAACCATGGGATTCTGTCTCAGCACACTCTTCCGTTCATTAATTTTACTCATTCAGTTACTAGACAGAACTTCCACTGGGGTCTACACAGGTAGTGACAGGTGACGCTGGGTCTTTCCTTTCGATCCTCTGGGCCTCTCTTTCCTGGCCTGTACCTGAGATTATAATAGCTGTCTCATGAAGTTCTAAGTTACAAAGGGTACCATGGTGTCCTGACATGAGGTGGTCTTATTGGTGTAGCTGGAATGCTGTGCCCCCTGGCTCTGCGTCAATAATGGTAGTCTGGGACTAGTCTGTTCTCACAGACAGTCTCTAACCCTCTCTTAGGCTTCACAAAGGTGAAGAGATGTTAAATACCTAATATCTGTTTATTTCCTGTATATATCTGTCTTTTCTGTGGCTTTTGAGAGAGCCAGGGTTCTATTTATGCAAGGATTTTAGTAGATTGGGTACTATAACCAACATATTCCTGATCTTAAAACATTTTGTATCATTTTCAAACAAGCTTCAAGGTAGTTTGCTACTTTAAAAAATTACTTGTTTTTGTACTTATATTTAAAGCTATCCGAAAATCATTTTTGAGAGAGAGGAGCCAATTTAGAGGTACAAAGATTTTAATAAATTTCCAAAGAGCAAGCTCGTCTTAGGTAGAACTGGATAAAAACGGTGCCTCTCCCTTCACTCCTTCTTAGACCCGCCCACTCTGGTGTGGCCTGTGGCTTTTTAGGGAGCATTCGTTTGGCTTCAGCACTTGCTTGCCTTTCTCACGTCTCCATTCACTCAGTCCCAGTAAACATTGTTTGGTCAATGGGAGTTTTATGGTTTGCTTTTAAGAGGAGTTCATGCTATTTTTCATTTTTTTTTCTTGTTTTTACAGAATCACCTTAAAGATATACTGACATCAGTTGTGTCAAGAAGGAAAGCTTACCGATTACGTGATGGTCATTTTAAATATGCCTTTGGTAGTAATGTGACTCCACAGCCATACCTGAAGAATAGTGTAGTAGCTTATAACAGCTTAATAGAAAGGTATATGAAGTTTCTTGTGATTTTTGCATCCATCCTTTCTAGTTGGTTATGCTGCTGCTGCTGCTGCTGCTGCGTCGCTTCAGTTGTGTCCGATTCTGTGCAACCCCATAGATGGCAGCCCATCAGGGTCTGCCATCCCTGGGATTCTCCAGGCAAGAACACTGGAGTGGGTTGCCATTTCCTCCTCCAATGCATGAAAGTGAAAAGTGAAAGTGAAGTCGCTCAGTCGTGTCCGACTCGTAGCGACCCCATGACTGCAGCCCACCAGGCTCCCCCATCCATGGGATTCTCCAGGCAAGAGGACTGGAGTGGGGTGCTACTCTTATGTCATAGACCACCATTAAATAATTGGTTGTTGAGCTTCTCTTAGTCTAGGGTATGTTTGAAAGCAGTAGTTTTATTTTCTCAAGTTGCTTCCTTGCATAACTGGTGAATTCTTTTGGTACTCTGTAGATCAAAAGTAAAGTTGTAGAGTTTGGCTGCGGCGTGTGGCTTAATGTGAGCCCCACTATCTGAGGGCAGTGCATCTTGAAGACTCCTGGGGCAGCACCTCCTGGTGGTGGGAGTGGGCCAGCTGTCACTCAGAAATGTGGCCTGTGATTGTTAGGTCAAGGTTGGGTTTCTTGATGGTGGGAGGAGGTGTGGTGGGTGTTTCTCCAGGTCCTCATCTGGCGTTTGTTGCTGGAGCTCAAGATGGTGGCCTGGGCTGGGTGTCATCGGTTGCTCTTGGCATCCTCTTGTGCAGATCTGGTCTTTCAGCTCCGATCTCTGGAACCTCTCTGCACTTTACTGTGGGCCCCCAGGACCTCTATGCTGTCCTGAAACATCCCTCTGAGATGACCTGGATTACCTTCCCTTTGTTGTCTCTTTTCAGGCAGAAGAGAGGTAGAAAAAAGTGTGATTGGGAAGGCTGGCTGGAGTGGTGATGGGGAAGAAGTAGCTGGCAGGGAAGGCAGGTGGCGTGATCGTGGTGGGGTGTGAGGGGAGAGCGGGCAGGGAGCCGCAGACGGAGCTGACGCCGCAGGGGCCTGCACTGTGCTTGGTTCATGGCTCTGCAGACCTCGGCTCAGCTCACGAGGCTCCGTTTGAAGAGCAGCGGCTTAGACTGGGTTCACTGTTTCAGACGGCCACAGGTGAAGGTTTATGTTCTCAGCCTCATTCACGTGTATCTGTTGTGGATTATTTGTTCTCCTTTGCGAGTCATTCGTCTTGAGAGAAAAACAGCCCGTTGAGTTGGGTGAGTGCTGGAGCAGTGTCTGAGCCGCCGGGCCTCCGGCCGCCCTCTCTCCCTGCCAGCCTGTGCCTGCGGGGCTCCTGCCTCACTCTCGGCCGCCTGTTCCTCCATCAGCGCTGCCTTTGGCTGGCGCCGAAACCCGCGCTCACAGCCCACTCGTGCTTTCCTCCGAGTTCCGTCCTCGCTGTTTGACCTCCCGTGTGTTCTCCAGAGTGGCAGAGCCTGTCTCCTACTGTATAATCATGCTTGTCTTCCCAGTCATATCTGGGTGCTATTTGGGGAACCTGGCAAAGTTTGGATGCGTTTTCTCTACCTCCCTAGTTTGGCCTGTTGCTTCTTTGGTGCTGTATCTTCCTGCCTTGCTTGTTATTTTTTGATCCTGTTGTCTTAGTCTCCTCTCCAGGTCAGTTTGCAATTTCCTTTTCCTTTAACTGGGGTCTATTATTTTTTCCGCCTAGAAGCTCGTTAAGGGCAGGAAACGATTTGACTCTGTAGCCTGACTTAACAAGTGTTTCGACACTTGTGGAGGGAGGAGGGCAAGTGCAGTTGCACTGCATTTTGTTTGAAGCCCCAGAGATGGGCTGCCTTTAAAAATGAAAATTGCAGGTTACTCATGCATACACTGGCTGAAAAGTAGTCGGATTTCTGACTCATTTTCGCTACCTTTTATGAGAAGTTTTCTAGCGGGCCGCCCCGTTCTGGCTGTTCGGCGGTCCCCCTCTCTCGCTGGGCTGTTTCTGACGCGTTTCGTTTTCAGCCCTCCAGCCTTCTCGGCTCCTTGTGCCGGCCAGAGCCCCGCGCCCCACCCGCCCCCTGATGATGCCGAGCAGCAGGCGGCGCTCCTGCTGGCGTGCTCTGGGGACGCACTGCCCGCGCCTCCGCCTCCAGTGAACATGTACGACCTTTTCGAAGCTTTGCAGGTAACTCTTGGCACCTTAAGGTTGTTCTAGATTTATGGGTAGGTTCAAAGTTTCTTCAAGTCTACAAAGATAATATTCACTAGCTTTCCCATTTCTTGACTTGTTTTTAAGTTTTTATTGTTATTTACAGTTATTGTTTGTTATTAATACTAGCCTTATTTTCAAATCCTGCTCTCAGGAATCCTTTCTAACTTACCTCCCCCATTTCTCACCTTTCTGGTGAAAGGAGAAAAAAAAACTCCTTGTTCCCTTATTTCTCCTTCAGAGCCTTGTTATTTCCTTGTTTTTTTCTTATGTTTTGGGTTTTATTAACTTTTGGCTCAAAACTTAACAGGTTTGTGTCTTGTGTGTGTGTTTTGTTGATATAAACCTTACTTTCATTTTCTGTGTACTGAAGTATAATTGGAGACATGCTGATGTTTTTATCCCAGGTACACAGGGAAGTCATTCCTACCCATACCGTATATGCTCTCAACATTGAAAGGATCATTATGAAACTCTGGCATCCAAATCATGAAGAGCTGCAGCAAGACAAAGTCCATCGCCAGCGCTTGGCAGCCAAGGAGGGGCTTTTGTTCTGCTGAATTAGGATTTGACGGTGTGGGACCCTCAGCTAACTCATTGATTATTGAATTGAATGTTTTGGGGATTCACATTGCAAGACTTAAGTGTATAGTGTACATATAATCTTTCCTATGGAAATGAGACAGTACATTTTGTGTTGCTGCTGTGACGCCATTAATATAAATCTGATTTTGACAATGACCCATATCTCTCTTGTGTATGTGTGTGTGTTCCCAATTATGGGACTAGGCACTGAGAAATTTCTGTGCCTGGAATAGCGATGTTTGGGCATCTGAGCCCTAGTATCCTATGGTCTTCATGTGAGGTAGGTGACATTCTAGAACAAAGAAGCTGTTATAACTCTGTCTTCACAATCAGGAGGATGTCTGTCTGTTCACAGACATCATGTATTCTGTATCTGGCAAGTCTAAAATTTCTGCTTTTCTCCTGAAGAACTGTTTTTTCTTAAACTGCTTTTAACAAAGTGTTAAAAGTTGGTTATCTTTGTTAGTCATCAGTTTAGTATACTTTTTTTTTGTGACCAGTTTTAACAGATACAGTTGCCTATTAAAATTTCATAGAAAATAAGACTTAGAAATACTATGCTGTTCAATAAGATAAAGTCTCTTCTTTAAAAACCAAATGAGAATAATCTCTTAGGATGTAACTTTATAAAAATATCTTCTCATAATTCCTTTCTTTTAGAGTTGTTAGGCCCAAAGACTTTGATTGGTAGGTTCATCTATTCCTGTAGGTGTCTTTAAGAAGTTCAGGTAAACATACTGTATTTATACTTGGTTAATTCTCCTGTTCCTGTGAAATATCCTTCCAAATGGCAGTGTTACTAATAACCAAGTTTGTTTCTTAAAAGATATGTTGCTTTTTTTATTCAAGAGATGTTATAGGTAGATACACTAGAATATACAGATGGGTTTAAGTAGGTCTAAATAATATATGTGTAGATAAGTATGTATGGTTCAATATCTGGATCTGTGCATTTGTTTTTGTATTTTAAATGCAACAAATAAATCTTTTGGGAGAAAACTTTATTAAAGTGAACATAACGAATACTGCCTTCAGAAATATGAAGAACCTTGCTTTATGAGATCTTAGCAGAAACTTTTCAAAAGAATGTATCAGAAAGATAAAAAACAGGTTCCAATTAAGGTGTGTCATCGCTTCCTTCTGTGATACATAGATTAAGACAAAAAAATAAATAGCTTAGTTTCAGTTCTTGGGACAACTCTGAAAAGTCATTTAGAGTTTTGGATAACTCAAGAATTTTTAGGATTTCTAAGAACTTGAACTGATATCTAAGTGTGTATAGTGGATCCATATTATATCTTGAGCCTCAGTGCCAAGTGTGTATTACATTTCATGTGCTCCATAGATGGAGAGACACCTAGACATTTTGAACATGCCCTGCTGCTCATTACAAGGGCAGGGTCCCACTGAAATCCGTGTAGCAGTGGACCTCCAAAGAGAATTCCTCACTTCTCTATAGGACCTGGCCTAAATCCCTACTCACCATTCTGGTGGGACCAGAGGACTCCCAAGTTTTGGGCCTACACTCTTAAGGTCTGCTTTCCATGCCAGTTTTCCTCAAGTATCATTTTATACAGTGGAGAGATGAGGCTAGGGACACAGCAGGCAGGTAGAGTCATTGATACTTAGGATTTTTCAAGACAGACTCTCTGATTCAAATACCTCAGTTCCAACAAACACTGCCTCCAGCTCTAGCTCCATTTTGGGATCCTGAATGCAGTGCATCTTTTATAATTAGGTTCTTAAGAAATCATGAGTGCTTATTATCAGGCATCATTTAGAAAAATAACTGCTTCAGAGAGGAAAAAGGCAATTAGAAACCAGGTAATTTCAGGCTTAGAATAAAGCTTATTTTTCCTTTAGAGATTTAAGTAGTTCTTTCAGCTATAGGTGTCATTGTTCAAAACCAGATTTGGTAAGGCCCGCCTCTCTACCAGGCACCGATGCCGGTTTAGCACACATTCTTACCACCTTCATCGCCCATTTCTGGGATCAGTCAGGCACACAGTTCCCCTAGCCCTTCTCCCATTGCCTGAAGGGATCAGCATGTTGCTGATCAGATTTCATGAAGTGACTTCTAAATGATTGCTCACTTTCACCATGTAAAAATGCCTATGTTTCATCATGTCTTTGACTTAAACCAAAAATTCCTCCAGTGTGAATAATGGTTTGGGAGTCAGACTTAGATGCGATGGCCAACAGACTGGTTCAGCATTCGATTCTCATGGCTTAATAAAGGAAAAATACCTAGATATTCTTGGAGTGTAGACTAATATTTAATCAAATCAACTGGCATGGTAATTACTAAAAGCACAATATGAAAAGGCATATGGATTCATCATACTTTCATTTTAAAAAACACTTATCAAAACAGGACCAAGTTCTCTATTCATCAACCTGCTAGCATGTTTCCATTCTTTTAAATTTAATACCCCTTTACGGATTTCCTTCATTGATTGGTAACATACCATTCCTGAGAGTAGTCACCAGATATGACTGAGGGAAAAAGCTATTTTCGCTGGGCCCTTGCCCCCACCTTTAAAAGCCAGTTGGAAACCACACATTTACCTTTAAAGACACCAACAGTAAGTACATTGTCATCCCCTGAACAGACTCTTTTATTCAAGGGTATAATATATTTCTCCACCAAACTGAGTGAGAATAAAGTGTAAATGAGAGTTTGAAATGTGACTTTTTAAAATGCTAGCAGATAATAAAACACCAGAGTCTATTGTCTTTATTATCAAAGTTTATTGTTAGAGTCAGTTCCTATCTACTGGGGAGTACAACTATGTCTCAATGTGTGCTATAGTAACTCTAGGGTAATAGCCATTCTGCAAAATAGTTGTACTGGGGCTCGGTTAGGCATAGATCATAAGTCAGTGGAAGAATGAGCCCAGAAAACCCTGACAATAGAGCCATTACTCTAGGAAGTTCCAGTGCTATGCAGCCTGTAAGGCGTCATCTACCAGCTGACGATGAGGCTCAAGGAGGTGTTGGCGGGATGAAACAGGAGTTGAACCCGTTTTCTACTCTTTGCAAGACAACTATGGCTCCAATGCAGGAACCAAAAACCAGGTCTTACAAAATCCTTTAAGCTCCCAAAACAAGTAAAACAGGACATAAAGAGGAAAGGGCCAGGAACCAGGATAGTGGAGGATAAATTAAGTGGAATTAGAGGGAATGAAAACTTCTGGAATGAAAAGTAGCTGGATTTAGATGCCATTTGAGATGATAAAGAATACAGTGCAGGTAAAAGCAAATGAGGAAACAATTCAAACTTTGAAAAGTATTCAGACACCAAAAGTTAAAGTTCCCCTCTTGGAGGAAAACTGGTTTTAAAAAATGAGGAAAGTGGGTCACTAATAGGAATGAGTACCTGAGTAGAAATAGGTGTTTCAGGATGCCAAGAATATTATATAAATGAGCTGGGTCTATAGGAAGGAAAAGTGGTTATGGTAGCCCGTTATCCAGATCTGACATTGGAATGATGTTTCTAGCAATGGCTTTGTCTATTAGGTTCTGGCATATTTTTTTTGTAGCATAGGTAGCTTTGATGGAATGTTTTCATAACACTCAATTTATGTGGGAATGCAAATTACTATAGTGTAAAATTTCAAAGATCTCCCACCTATTTCTGTGGGATAGAAGATTAGAAGTCCTGAAACAGCTGTGGCTAAAGGCCCACGCCCTCTTACCACCCTTGTGATGAAAATATTAAAGGAATGAACCAAACGGTATCAGTGAGTCAATGAGCATTGTACCATGTAGACAGCAGATAATTTATGGTGACTTCTGCAGGCAGCCTGAGAAACAGAAAAGCTTGTGTACTAAATGCTACCCTATCATTAAATATAATAATAACAAAAAACAGGGCCATTAAATGAGACCCTAGAAAAGTCTAGCTGCCAACCAGATTGGGAAGATAAATAGCATAGTTTATTTTAATCTGTATCTTCCATACTAACCTAGTTTGTCTGTAGAAAAGCCATCTGCTGGCACTAGGCCAGTATGTCTGAGTTTTGTCATTATTAGCATCTCATTTTTCCAAAAAAGGAAATGTGTAAGTAGCAGGTGTACATAAATGACCATTTCTACAAAGCCTTCTCTGCAGTTTTGACCTGTGTGGGGACAGGTTCTACTGATGAAGCATTTTTAGAGGCAAAAGGAAAACATTAACTTGAGGTTTTCTCCAAAGAAAGAATACCAGTGGAGTTGGGCCCATATGATGAGTTTCTTGTTGGTGCTGAACAAATGGTCTCTTCTCTAGGAAATACGTTTGTTCACACCTATTTACAGGTTCTATAAATGTAATTTCTAAAACAAGAAGTAGAAGCAGTTTCTTTTCTAATCATGTCTCTGATGAAATGAAGGGTCCTCAATTTTTCGGACTCCTCGTGGTGTGGGATGGGGTTGGGCTCTATCCCAGGGCCGGATGCTCAGGCTGCTGTCCAGACCTGGGTTATTTCAAGCACCACGGCCTTTTCCTGCATTCCTTTCCCTGTGCCTTCAGGCTGTGAGGAATCTTCTTGAACATTTTCCTCCCCAACTGTTCCAAACACAGTTCTATTTGCTAGAAAACAGAACATAAGTGTGAGTTAACATTTGGATTTTAGACACCGTATAACTTCATGAACATAATTATTCCATTAGTCACATTTCCAAACAGATGAGAAGAGGCCATTTTATGCCTGTATGTCTCCTCTCAAATGTCTTGTTCACTGATAATCCTGTCTACTTCTATAACTTCCTCAGCTCAAAACCAGGACAACTATACAGAGAACTGTGGCTGTCAAGATGAGCCAGAGCTCATGGTTCTGATGGGATGTAAATGCACAGCCTGTGTCCACTGTGTCCCAGCCTTGTTTTCTTCGTTTTGACAGTTTTTGATCCAGTTCTATGTGTAGCATATACCTTAGAAAATTAAAAATACACAAAAATGTCATCTGCTTAAAATCCTTCAAGCTAGGCTTCA